TCAAAGAGCATTCTGAACTCCAACAATGATGGAATTGAACCAAATATGGTACACAGAACTCCCACAACGAACAGAAAATATATATCAGTGATTGGTTGGGGGAGGGGGGGGATACTGTTTCCTTACCATTGAAAATTACCCAGGGCTGCCTCTGAAAGTTGCAAAATAGTATTATGCTTGCAGATTTATATGACTATGCATCACTTTAGGAGCCCTGCCGAACCAAATGGCAATTAATCTAGGCTTTTAATAAGCCACTGAATAAAATGGGCAAGCAACTGTATGTGAGACCTCACTCTTAGAGACCACATTTCTCCAAATACTCTGTTTTCCTCTTCAGAGCCTCTCAAAACGGCAGCAGGGAGTTGAGGGGTGAGTTCCATCGAGAGACTGCAAAAGCCTATCACGGAATGATAGCATTGGGAAGGTTCCCAAGGGCCATCTAGTCCAACCCTCTCACACTGAACACTATTTCAAACTGGAATGCATGGCCATGATGGTCCACGCTCTCGTTACATCTAGGATAGACTACTGCAACGCACTCTACATGGGGTTGCCTTTGAAGACTGCTCGGAAGCTTCAAATAGTCCAACAAGAGGCAGTCAGGTTAATAACTGGGGTGGCATACAGGGAGCATACAACTCGCATGTTACGCCAGCTCCACTGGCTGCCAGTTTGCTACCGGGCACAATTCAAAGTGCTGGCTTCGACCTATAAAGCCCTAAACCAGTGGTTCTCAACCTGGGATCCCCAGATGTTTTTGGCCTTCAACTCCCAGAAATCCTAAAAGCTGGTAAACTGACTGGGGCCAAAAACACCAGGGGACCCCAGGTTGAGAACCACTGCCCTAAATGGCCCCGGCCAAATTACTTGTCCAAATGTATCTCCCCCTATGAACCATCACGGAGATTAAGATCCTCCGAGGAGGTCCTGCTTTCCGTCCTGCCATTGTCACAGGCACGATTGGTGGGGACAAGAGACAGGACCTTCCCGGTGATTGCTCCCCGGCTATGGAACCCCCATCCTTGTGAGATCAGGTCGGCCCCCTCCCTCCTGTCCTTTAGAAGGATGGTCAAAACTTGGCTGAGGGACCAAGCTTTCGGGACAGGGCAATGAAGCGACAATAGGAAAGATGACCGAGCCAATTGGATTTGATGCGGATGACTAGGGCGGTTTTAAATGGTGTATTTTAATATTTTGATAAATGTTTTTTAATGTTTATGTATTGAATGTGAATTTGTGTCCCGGCATTGTTTGCCGTGTATATGCTGTGCTCCGCCCTGAGTCCCCTTCAGGGTGAAAAGGGCGGAATATAAATGTTTTAAATAAATAAATAAATTGCTCCAATTGGAAAAAGGTCCCCCCACCCACCCCCAATTCTCCTCTCCTCTTGTGATCTTCTGTTTGCATTTTGGACCCAGTTTGCAGCAACTGAAGTAAGTCGAGGATAAAGAAAGAAGGCAGAAAGAGGAAAGAGAAACTGAGACATTTTAATAACAAGATGGCAGAAGATCCCTGCCAAATGGCAGGAAAACACAACCTCCTTAGAATAAACCTGACCAAGCAAACCCTATGGCCACCAGTGACTTGTTTTGGGGCCTCCAGTAACCTGAAATAATTTGAAAACCAAGAGGCAATTAAAGTGGTCAAGAGGGCAAACATCATGATGAAAAAGCCAGTGAGTGCTTGGCCAACAAAAGGATCAATCTGTTGTGGGTTTTGTATTTCTTAGCATTGAGGGGATTCCAAAAGGTTGCTAGTCTAGACTAAATGCAGTTTGGCTGGGCTTTAACTGTCACAGCTCCTGGGATTCTGCCTTGGTTAGACCACACCTAGAATATTGTGTCCAATTCTGGGTACCACAATTCAAGAGAGATATTGACAAGCTGGAATGTGTCCAGAGAAGGGCGACTAAAATGATCAAGGGTCTGGAGAACAAGCCCTATCAAGAGCGGCTTAAAGAGCTGGGCATGTTTAGCCTGAAGAAGAGAAGGCTGAGAGGAGATATGATAGCCATGTATAAATATGTGGGAGGAAGTCATAGGGAGGAGGGAGGAGGCGTGTTTTCTGCTGCCCTGGAGACTAGGACGTGGAACAATGGCTTCAAACTACAAGAAAGGCGATTCCATCTGAACATGAGGAAGAACTTCCTGACTGGGAGAGCCGTTCAGCAGTGGAACTCTCTGCCCCGGAGTGTGGTGGAGGCTCCTTCTTTGGAAGCTTTGAAACAGAGGCTGGATGGCCATCTGTCTGGGGTGCTTTGAATGCAATATTCCTGCTTCTAGACAGGGGGTTGAACTGGATGGCCCATGAGGTCTCTTCCAACTCTATGATTCTATGATTCAAAGTCTGGAAAGACCCCAACCTTTTTCGGCAGAGAAAACTAAAGACCAACCTTGCAAAACCCCAACTCCCAGGGTGCCAAACTGCATTAAGTCCACAGTGCAGATTCACTCCTGGTGGACATTAAGGATGGCTATACAATGCAGTGGGTTTGGGGCCACAACCCTGATGGAAGTAGGAATGGGTCTCCTGAGCAAAGACTAAAGATCCTTTTCCCCCGTTCATGATTGCCAAAGAAAAACGGGCCGTGACTCATGACACCCTTTGAAGGGTTGTTTCTAAGGAGAAGAAGTGGCAGAGGAAGGTCACAAGATTGTGGTTTGAAAGGGAGAAGACAAAAAGAATAGGTGACCAAGGAGGAACCAAAGCCAAGCCCCATTTCCCCAAACCCAAACGGGGCAGAAACCTGTTTGTGGGCATCGCAAGCTTATGCGCCTATATCCCTCCAAAGGAGTCATGGAGCTGTGGCCCATAACAGTGCGCATCTACCCAAACAAACCCCTCCTCAAAGATGCTCCTTTCCTCTCCTTCCTTCCTTGTGTCCTGCAACAGACAGATGCAAAACCACAGGAAAGAGAAAGCAAAGGCTTTCCTGCACACAGCTCTGACATATTATTATTATTATTATTATTATTATTATTATTATTATTACTATTACTATTATTATTATTATTATTACTAGCAGTCCCCTGCCACGCGTTGCTGTGGCCCACATCGGGATTCTGTGTGGGAGGTTTAGCCCAATTCTATCGTTGGTGGGGTTCACAATGCTCTGTGATTGTAGGTGAACTATAAATCCCAGCAACTACAACTCCCAAATGTCAGGATTCTATTTTTCCCAAACTCCACCAGTGTTCACATTTGGGCATATTGAGTATTCGTGTAGAGTTTGGTCCAGATCCATCATTATTTGAGTGCATAGTGATCTCTGGATGTAAGTGAACTACACTTGTCATATCACCTGTCACAGGAGCCCCCGGTGGCGCAGTGGGTTAAAGCACTGTGCCGGCAGGAGTGAAGACCAAAGGACACTGCCCACCAAACCCTTCCAGTATTTTCTGTTGGTCATGGGAGAACTGTGTGCCAAGTTTGGTTCAATTCCATCATTGGTGGGGTTCAGAATGCTCTTTGGTTGTAGGTGAACTATAAATCCCAGCAACTATAACTCCCAAATGTCAAAATCAAAAATATTTGAGTGAAGGACATACATTGGGTTGTTAGGTATATGCTGTCCAAATTTGGTGTCATTTCCCCCAGAGGTTTTTGAGTTCTGTTAATCCCACAAACAAACATTACATTTTTATTTATATAGACTAGCCATCCCTTGCCTCATGTTGCTGTGGCCCAGTCTGTGTATATGTGTTTTGTGTGTGTATATGCGTATATGTATGTGTATATATTTGTGTATATGTGTCTTTGTATATATATATATGGTTTTGTGCATGCATTGTAATGTATGTTTTGGTTTTTTGGCTTTTTAAGTCTCTTCTGCTGTGTTTTTCAGTGTTTTTATGAGTGATGGTCACAGGTGTATTTTGTCCAAATCTGGTGTCAATTCATTCAGTGGTTTTTGAGTTCTGTTAATCCCACAAACGAACATTACATTTTTATTTATATAGATTTGGAACACAACAAGATGAGTCCACAGCAGACACTCTGCTGCTGTTGAACTGTATCACACGTCGGACACTTCCCAAGTGTCTAGGACTGTGTGATGTATCGGCAAATTATTATTATTATTATTATTATCATTATTATTTAATTTCTTACCCGCCTCTCCTCGTGGCTCGAGGCGCACCACAGCACAGTGAAAACACACAGACATTACAAAAAATTCTATAAGATAAATACAGAGGTGGCCCTAGGTAATTTTCAATGGTAAGCAAACAGTATTCCCCCCCACCAACCACTGATATATATTTTCTGTTCGTCGTGGGAGTTCTGTGTGCCATATTTGGTTCAATTCCATCATTGGTGGAGTTCAGAATGCTCTTTGATTGTAGGTGAACTATACATCCCAGTAACTACAACTCGCATATGTCAAGGTCTATTTTCCCCCAAGAGTGCCTGGGCAAAATCGACTATACTGCAAATGCTTACTTAGCGTAATGGGTTGAGCCGCCCCTGGATACATATTAAAATGTATTTCTATACAATACATATCGATAGGCCCATGTTTGGGAGCCAAAGCCCTAAAGGAGGCAAAGAGCTCCCAGGGGTTTGTGTGGTTGCCATGAAAGAGAGAGAGAGTTTCTGTGGCAGCAACTGGGGAGTTGCTGGTTGCCAACCAGATGCTCCTGCTGTTGTCCTCCTACTTACATTGGGAAACAACAGAACCCCCCCCCCCCCAACAATGATGCGCAGACAATGCCTCCACACACACCCTGCAAAAGGCTCTGATCTGCCAGACAGAAAGGAAGGAACAACTCCCTTTTTTTCCATGAGGCTTTGATTCTGCTGCAAAATGGGGTTGGCAAAGAAAAGAAGGGCGAGCGGGCAGCGATTGTGCCCAGGAGGGGCTGCATCACCTCCATCCCTGGCTTTGGCAACTTGAATCCATTTTCCTCTGGGATTTAGATATGGGATTTAGATACACACAGACAAGAAAGACCTGGAAGGAGAGAGGTAAACAAAACAAAAGATGCGAAGGCGCTTACCTTGTGCTTAGAGCATCTCCATCTCCGTCTCCATCAGCGCCTGCTTCCTCTCAAGGCCCCGTTGCTGGGAGAGGAAGGGAAAGGTGAGGGGGAGGAGGATGGTGTCGGTGATGCCGCCCCCTCCTCTTCCTCCTCCTCCTCTTCTTCTTTTCCCCTTTGGCTTCTCCCTCCCGGGCGCACGATGCGCCTCGGAGCGCAAAAGGTAGCAAGGCTCAAAGGAGGCCAGGATCCGCCCGAAAAGGGGGAGGGGGAGGAAGAGGAAGAAGAGGAGGAGGAAGGCGGCGGGGGGGGGGGGGGGCGGCCTCCTCGGCGCCCCCTTCTGGTAGACGGCGCCAGCGCAAGAAGAAGCGGAGCCAGCGGCTGCATCTGTGGTACCCAAGGAGGGGTCATTGGCCTGGCAACAAAAGGGAACCAAAAGGGAACCCAGGAGTGGCCAGGAGAGCACAGAGCACTAGGCTACTATATCTGGAAAAGGGGCCACCTTGAAGATGCAGACAGATTGCTTTTCTGCCAGGACACACAGCAATGGGTTTGCGCATTGCAGGAAGAGAGTTGCTACCCTAACGTTTATTTATTTATTTATTTATTTACAGCACTAGCTGCACCCTGCCACGCGCAGAGGTAATTTTCAACGGTAAGCAAACAGTATTTTGCCCCCCCCCCCCAACCAATCATTGATATATATTTTCTGTTCGTCGTGGGAGTTCTGTGTGCCATAGTTGGTTCAATTCCATCATTGGTGGAGTTCAGAATGCTCTTTGATTGTAGGTGAACTATACATCCCAGTAACTACACTTGCCGCACTGGCTCCCGACTGCCACTTGAGGAGCGCCCCCTCAGCTCACAACAGCCCTAGCAGTCCAGGAGGAGCCTCGGCTTTCTTGCCTCGCTGGCGGGCGATCCTCTTCCCAAAGGGGCCGGGCCCTTGAGCCTCGCCTAGCCCCTCTCGTTCCTGCTCCACCGGCCACTGGTGTGCGAGCAGAGCCGGTGCTCAATCGTTCTCCGCGTTCGATCCCTTCCCCATGACTGGCTCCCTTTCCCAATCCCCTGGCCCTCCACCCGCCTCCTCTCCTCTCTCCAATCTGCAGGTGGGCCAAGGGGCGGAGCCGCCGCGCCTGGCCCACTTCTGGTCCGGAGGTGTGTCTGAAGACCCCAGCGTGTGCACCAAAAGTCACCTCTTCTCCTGACTTTCTCTTCAGCCATTGGGACCAAGAGAGAGAGAGAGACAGAGGTGGAGATGCCCACCTTTCCTGAAGGTAGGCGCAAAAACAAAGGAGGGAGCGGAGGTGGGAGATACCTCTCTCTCTCTCTCTCTCTCTCTCTCTCTCTTGGTCCCAAGAGCAGTACGTGTGAAAAAGATCTTGGAGTCCTCGTGGACAACAAGTTAAACATGAGCCAACAATGTGATGTGGCGGCAAAAAAAGCCAATGGGATTTTGGCCTGCATCAATAGGAGCATAGTGTCTAGATCTAGGGAAGTCATGATCCCCATGCTCTATTCTGCTTTGGTTAGACCACACCTGGAATATTGTGTCCAATTCTGGGCACCACAATTCAAGAGAGATATTGACAAGCTGGAATGTGTCCAGAGGAGGGCGACTAAAATGATCAAGGGTCTGGAGAACAAGCCCTATGAGGAGCGGCTTAAGGAGCTGGGCATGTTTAGCCTGATGAAGAGAAGGCTGAGAGGAGATATGATAGCCATGTATAAATATGTGAGAGGAAGCCACAGGGAGGAGGGAGCAAGCTTGTTTTCTGCTTCCCTGGAGACTAGGACGCGGAACAATGGCTTCAAACTACAAGAGAGGAGATTCCATCTGAACATGAGGAAGAACTTCCAGACTGTGAGAGCCGTTCAGCAGTGGAACTCTCTGCCCCGGAGTGTGGTGGAGGCTCCTTCTTTGGAAGCTTTTAAACAGAGGCTGGATGGCCATCTGTCAGGGGTGATTTGAATGCAATATTCCTGCTTCTTGGCAGGGGGTTGGACTGAATGGCCCATGAGGTCTCTTCCAATTCTATGATTCTATGATGTTGATAGAATCCTAGAGTTGAAAAGAAACCCCCTGGATCTAGTCCAACCCCCAGACGTGGTTGCTTTATGCCGAGTCAAAGCAACAGAGGAAGTTGCACCTGAATCTCCTCTTTGAAAAACATCATCTCTAATTTGGCCAGGGCTCAATACTACACAGTCCTGGGACTTGTATTTTGGAGAGGCATCCACATTTTTTGGCAGCCCCCAGGATGCCAAATTACATGACTCCATGACTCCATAGCATTGACTCAAGACAGTTTAAGTAGATGCATTCTATTTGTTTATTTATAAGGAAACGTTTTAGAGCAACATATTTTCATTTCTGGACCCACTTTAGAGGCATTGGTATGGGGGACTAAAGGCATGTATAAATATGTGAGAGGAAGTCACAGGGATGAGGGAGCAAGCTTGTTTTCTGCTTCCCTGGAGACTAGGACGCGGAATAATGGCTTTGAACTACAAGAGAGGAGATTCCATCTGAACATTAGGAAGAACTTCCTGACTGTGAGAGCTGTTCAGCAGTGGAACTCTCTGCCCGGGAGTGTGGTGAAGGCTCCTTCTTTAGAGGCTTTTAAACAGAGGCTGGATGGCCATCTGCCAGGGGTGTTTTGAATGCAATATTCCTGCTTCTTGGCAGGGGGTTGGACTGGATGGCCCATGAGGTCTCTTCCAACTCTATTATTCTATGACAACTCCCATGACTCTGTAACTTGCGTTGTATTTCTGGCATTGCAGAGGGATTGGCTGGCGCCTTTTGCTGAAAGGTTACTTTGGTTTTCTTTGGTTGAAAGGCGAAGTTTGTCTTATGCTTCTGTAAAGGTGTTTAGAGTGGCTTGTAGGTCTTCCTCTGAATGGGCACAGACTATGTTATCATCAGCATATCGGAGTTCTATAAGAGATGCCCTAGTTTAAACCAGACTTGAAAACAAACAAGGGGTGTGAGCAGAAGAAACTCAACAAAAGCAACACAAGTACTCTTTTTGTTATGAAATATTTTCTTTCCTTCTGCAATGAATTTCAGTCTGAATATTTGAGCGCACACATGTAAGAACAGCCCATTTAGATCAGCACTGCATATGTATGTTTTTATTTCTTTGTTGTAAACAGAATAAGTGCAGACGGAGAAGAAAGAAGACCATGAAGGAGCTTCAAAGTGCTTGGTTTCGAGGGAGGGATCTTCCATCCAATTCAAAAGGGGAATTCTGAAAAACAGTTTGGTTACCAATGCTATGGTCAAACGTAAGCCGCCAGGCATCAACAAAGCACATAGCTCTTGCTACACAGTTGGCCATGGCCCTGTTGCGGCCGCAAGTCAAAGGAGACCTGATCGCCATTAACAATAAGCCTATTTAAATGTGTTCCTTTAAATTAAATGAGCCAGTATTGTGTGAGTGCTGAGTTTTGGCTCCAGAGGCCTCGGGTTTGAGTCCTGCTTAGCCTGCTATGGGAGACATTTGGGTGAGTCGCACTCTCTCGGCCTCAGAGGGAGGCAAAGGCAAACCACTCCCAAGCAAAGCCTGCCAAGAGATGCTATGGAATTCCTGGGAGCTGCAGTTTTACAAGGCCTTCTCTGCCAAATAGTGTTAACGCTTTATTTAATTCCAACTCCGCAGGATCCCATTGCATTGAGCCAGGGCATTTCCAGTGTCATCAAAACACATTCATTCTTCAAATGTAGAGATATGGACTCTGGAGACTTGGGCTAGAATCCCCATTCAGCCATGGAAGCCTGCTGGGTGAGTCACGATCTCTCGGCCTCAGAAAACCTTTGCGATGGGGTCGCCTTAGGCTCAGCAAACAAGAACCCCCTGGGATTCCATACCATTAAAACTACAACATTTCAATTGGCATCAAAGTGCATTAAGTCTGCAAGATGCACCCTGGGACACTGGCAGTCTGAGTCTGACTCCCTGCTCAGTCACCTGGGGGAGTCACAGTCTCTTAGCCTCAGAGGATGTTGAGATGGGGTCGCTGTCACAAGTAGGGAAATGTGCAAAGGCATGCATCAGTGTCATCATAAATACTGTCAAAGATTTTCATGGCCAGAATCACTGGGGCATTGTGTGGTTTTCTGGTCTGTCTGACCAATGTGTTCTAGCAGCATTTTGTCCTGATTTTTCTCCTGCATCTGTGGCCTCTGGCATCTTCAGAGGATCGGTTGGTGGTTAAGCAAGTGGAGTATATAATATATCTGTGGAAGTGTGGGAGGAAAGAACCATTGTCTGTTAACTAAATGTGAAGGGTGCAAGTGTTGAGTGGGACCACCCAGACAAAGGATGTCTCCAGGCAGTAAACAATTCAGAGGGAACAAAGGCCAGGCTATAATAATAATAATAATAATAATAATAATAATAATAATAATAATTTGTATCAGAAGTGTATCAGTAGCTGATCCAAGGTCAAAGGATGACGACGACAACAACAACAACAACAACAGCAACGTCTCCAGGCAGCAAGCAATCAGGACCAGGGAGCTCTACCCAGGCTAAGGATTTCTCCAGGTAGTAAACAATTCAAAGGGAACAAAGGCTAGGCTATTTCTATAATAATAATAATAACAACAACAACAACAACAACAACAACAACAACAACAACTGGGTGTTGTCTTGTCATTGGTGGGGGGCTTAACTGCTTCTATGATGTTGAGAGCTGTGCTGCTGGTGGTGTAAACTACCAGCAGGTTCAACCAAGCCAGAGTGGTCTCAACTGAGAAGTAGAACTAAGTGCACCCAACCCATTTAAATATGGTGAAACAAAATCTTCAGAAGTCTATACTATACAGGATAATAAGGACCATGACGAGTGCTTCTCCTGGGCACCCGTCGACAAGTGGACTACAGGAAACAGGACCCACTGCTGAATAACCAGGGTGTGGGCCTGTAGGGCAACTTGAAACAAAACAAGTACAGAAGTGGCAGAAATTTTATTTTATTTTATTTTAAATTTGAATACTGGTGGGGTTGGTGGGGGGATTGATTTTATCCCGTGAGATTTGTAGTTGCTGGGATTTATAGTTCACCTATAATCAAAGAGCATTCTGAACTCCACTAATGATGGAATTGATCCAAACTTGGCACACAGAACTCCCATGACCAACAGAAAATAATGGAAGGGTTTGGTGGGCATTGACCTTGAGTTTTGGAGTTGTAGTTCACTTACATCCAGAGAGCACTATGGACTCAAACAATGATAGATCTGGACCAAACTTGGCACGAATTCTCAGTATGCCCAAATGAGAACACTGGTGGAGTTTGAGGGAAACAGACGTTGATATCTGGGAGTTGTAATTGCTGGGATTTATAGTTCACCTGCCATCAAAGAGCATTCTGAACCCTACCAATGATTGAATTGGGCCAAATTTCCCACACAGAACCCCCATGACCAAGAGAAAATACTGTTTTCTGATGGTCTTTGGCGACGCCTCTGACACCCCCACGACCCCTCCAGGGGTCCCGACCCCCAGGTTGAGAAACACTGCTCTAGAGGTATATCGTCTCCATTTGCTTGACTACCATCAGATCCTCTGCAGATACCAACCACAGATGCAGGAGAAACTAAAAAAAATAAAAAAGAGAAAGTGCTGCTAGAACACATTGTCCAGACAGCCTGGAAACAAGCCACAGAACAACACTCCAGTCATCATAAATACTCTGAGAGCTAAAAATAAAGTGACCTCACTCAGGTGATTAAATGGAAGGTTAGCGGAAGCCTTACCATCTACCCATTTTTGTGCAGCTCCACAATCCCGACGTAAGTGGGCAAGAGGGCTTGGCCCCAGGGACACGAAGCAGCTGCAGTCTCCACCACGGGGTTTGTCCAGACCACTTCCACACCACTCTCCGCTTTGACGTAGCAGCCAGGAGGTGGAGCGCTCGTTGGCAGGCTGTTCTGGGTGGTGTCTGGCACTGGATCGGGCCATGGCAATGGATATGAGTGCGGACCCACCTCCTGGTCATAAAAAAGGAAGGGGGGAAAGCCACAAATGTGATGGTCACTCGTTGGTCTGTTAGGGGTGTGGTGTCCAAATTTCATGTCATTTCGTCCAGTGGTTTTTGAGATATGTTAATCCCACAAACGAACGTTATATTTTTATTTATATAGATAATATAATAACACAATATAATAGTACTAATACTAATAATATATAATAGAAAACTCCTCTCCCTTCCTGCTCTGTCAGGCCCATTCTTCACTAGGAATAATTTGTAAGTCGGGTGTGTGTAACTCAGGGATAGCCTATATCTATCTATCTATCTATCTATCTATCTATCTATCTATCTATCTATCTATCTATCTATCTATCTATCTATCTATCTATCTATCTGTCAGTCTATCTATCTGTCAGTCTATCTATCTATCTATCTATCTATCTATCTATCTATCTATCTATCTATCTATGAGATAAATATAGTATCACCGTTTTGGATGGGATCCCTAAAGTTCACCCAGTCCAGCCCCGTCCTTAACTAGGAGTCATTTGTAACTTTGGGCAGCCTATCTTATATATGAGATAGATGTAGTATCATAGATTTGGAAGGGACCCCAAAGGCCATCCAGTCCAGCCCCATTCTTAATTAGGAGTCCCTTTTGAGTCAGATGTTTGTAACTCATGGACTTTGGCTTGCAACCGCACGTCATCCAAACAGGAGGGTTGCAGGGATGAAGTGATCCGCAAAGTGTGTTCTGCTCCTACCTCAGCGCCCTGGTTCTCTTCCAGAATCAGGCGCAAGAGGCGGATGTATTCGGAGGCTGCTTTCAGCATGTCCACCTTGCTGGGCTTCCGGTCCTTTGGGATGAGCGGCACAATGGACTTGAGCTTGGAGAACCCACTGTTCAGATTCCGGATCTGTTTAAGGGAAGGAGGAGAGGTTAGTGAAACCTAGGAGGCACCTGTTGCTCTAACTGCTTTGGGCCCACCTAAACCAGATTTGTGCCACACCATGCTGCTATAGTGCTATGATTCCACCTCAGTTGCCAAGGCAACATCCCACAGCATCCAGAGAGCCTCCTGAACTACAACACCCTGGATGTATCCATGGTGTTTAAAGCAGAATATATAACTGGTGCATCTAGAATGGTGGTTCTCAACCTGGGAGTCGCGATCCCTGGGGGGGTTGTTCAGCCACTTTTGGGGGATCGCGAAGCTGTCTTGGCTGGCCCTGCCTCTCCAGTATTTTCTGTCGATCATGGGAGTTCTCTGTGCCAAGTTTGAGTCCATTCCATGGTTGCATGAGTTCAGAATGCTTTTGGATGGGAGGGAACTATATATCCCAGCAACTCCCAAATGTCAGGAAAATAACCCCAAAACTCTCCAGTACTTTCTGTTGGTTATGGGAGTTCTGTATGCCAAGCTTCTTCAATTCCATTTTTGTTGGAGTTCAGAATGCTTTGAAACCACTTTGAGTCCCCCTCAGGGTGAGAAAAGCAGTATACAAATACTGTAAATAAGTAAGTAAATAAATAAATAAATAAATGCTCTCTGATGGCAGGTGAATAATAAATCCCAGCAACTGCAACTCCCAAATGTCAAGATCCATTTTCCCCAAACTCCACCATTGTTCACATTTGGGCATATTGAATATTCATGCCAAGTTTGGGCCAGATCCATAGTCACTTGGATTCACAATTCTTTCTGGATGTAGGTGAACTACATCTCCCATAAATCACTGTCAATTCATCCCAAACTCCTCCAGTATTTTCTGTTGGTCATAGGAGTTCTGTGTGCCATGTTTGGTCCAGGTCTGTAATTCATGGGGGATCTCAGTGTTCTGTGGAAGTCAGAGCTGAATTGGTTGAAGGTACTGCAAATCCCATCATCCATTGTCCATACTCCCCCAAACATATTGTTTTTTGTGATTAATCACTATGCTTTAATTATGTTCAATTTGTAACAATGAAAATACATCCTGCATATTAGATATTTGCATTAGAATTCATAAGAGTAGCAAAATTATTTATGAAGTAGAAACGAAAATATGGTTGGGGGTCACCATAACACGAGGAACTTTATTTAGGGGTCACCGCATTAGAAAGGTTGAGAACCACTGATCTAGAATGAATGCAGTTTAACTGCCATGGCTCGATGCTATGGAATCTTAGCATTCTTTGCAAAAGTACAACTCCTACACCATAGAATGAATGCAGTTTAACCGACATGGCTCAATGCTATGCGATCCTGGGAGCTGTAAGCCTTTAGCGTTCATTGCAAAAGTACAACTCCCAGGATCCCACAGCATTGAGCTTTGGCAGCTAAACTGGGATCATTCTATAGTGCAGATTCCTGAAAGATTTGGCAGTGATGGATCTGGAAGGACTGCTGCCTGCACACACTGAGAGTGTCGCCCTTCTTCTCCGAGAAGGCTTGGGAGAAAGGAAAATGAATTAAATTAAACAATTCAAAATAAACAAAAATCCTATTCAGTTCTGCCAAAATCTGGGGAGGTTCCTCCGGTCAAGTGCAGAGGAGGCTGCTGGAAAAGTCCAATCTAACCTGCAGAGTTTGCCTGCCTTATCTAGAGTCAACATTGACTCCGATAAGAGCTTCACTTAAAGTGCATTAGGGCTCTTTCATTGCCTTTTTTGGGCAATTGTCCCACCATGACCCTCCAAGAAAGGAAAACAGGTGGCCATTGGCAACCTACGTGTTATGGACACAACTCTACAATATAGTCCAGTGGTTCTCAACCTTCCTAATGCCATGAACCCTTAATACACTTCCTCGTGTTATGGTGACCTCCAATCATAAAATTATTTTTGTTGCTACTTCATAACAGTCATTTTACTACTGTTATAAATCATAACATAAATGGTATGCAGGATGTATGTTCATTCACTGGACCAAATTTGGCACAAATACCCAATACGTCCAAATTTGAATACTGGTGGGGTTGGTGGGGGGATTGATTTTATCCTATGGGATTTGTAGCTGCTGGGATTTATAGTTCACCTACAATCAAAGAGCATTCTGAACTCCACTAATGATGGAATTGATCCAAACTTGGCACACAGAACTCCCATGACCAACAGAAAATAATCGAAGGGTTTGGTGGGCATTGACCTTGAGCTTTGGAGTTGTAGTTCACTTACATCCAGAGAGCACTATGGACTCAAACAATGATAGATCTGGACCAAACTTGGCACGAATTCTCAGTATGCCCAAATGAGAACACTGGTGGAGTTTGGGGGAAACAGACCTTGATATTTGGGAGTTGTAATTGCTGGGATTTATAGTTCAACTACCATCAAAGAGCATTCTGAACCCTACCAATGATTGAATTGGGCCAAATTTCCCACACAGAACCCCCATGACCAAGAGAAAATACTGTTTTCTGATGGTCTTTGGTGACCCCTCTGACACCCCCCCCCCACGACCCCTCCAGGGGTCCCGACACCCAGGTTGAGAAACACTGATATAGTCTAACCCCTGGCATCTTGTTTTATATTGTTTGTGCTGTTTATTATATGTATTTGCATTTTATGTATTTTATTTTCTGGTATTGTTATGTTTTTATATTATGATGTATGTTCTGTACTGATGGGCGTGGCCTCATGGAAGCCGCACCGAGTCCCCCTGGAGGAAATGGAGCGGGGTATAAATAACGTATTATTATTATTATTATTATTATTATTATTATTATTATTAGCCATCCCCTGCCATGTATTGCTGTGGCCCAGTCTGTGTATATGTGCTTTGTGTGTATATATATTTGTGTATATGTGTATATACATGTGTTTGCGTGTATATGTGTGTGTGTGTGGTTTTGCGCATGCATTGCATTGTATTTTTAAAAAGTTTTTGGCTTTTTAAGTCTCTTCTGCTGAGTTTTTCAGTGTTGTTTTGAGTGACTAGCGGTCACTCAATTCCCAAATGTCAAGGTCTATCTCCCTCAAACTCCATCTGTGTTTATATTTGGGCATATTGAGTATTTGCTCCAAGTTTGGTCCATATCCATCATTGTTTGAGTCCACAGTGCCCTCTAGATATAGGTGAACTACAACTCCAAAACTCAAGGTCAATGCCCACCAAACCCTTCTAGTGTTTTCTGTTGGTCAGGGGAGTCCTGTGTGCCAAGTTTGGTTCAATTCCATCATTGGTGGAGTTCAGAGTGCTCTTTGATTATAGGATTTATAGGATTTGATTATTAAATCCTAGCAACTACATCTCCCAAATGACAAAATCATAGTTTTTTGAGTGATGGTCACTCCTTGTGTTGTGAGACATTTTGTTGCCAAATTTGGTGTGATTTCATTCATTGGTTCTTTTGTTTTTAAGGTACTCATTACGCACAGAGCATTTAGATAGACAGATAGATAGATAGATTATTCAGAGGTTTGTTCAGAGGTCTACTGGCAGTGAGACAAGTGGTGTGTGTGTATGTGTGTATAGATGTGTGTATACATACACAAACATACACCTCTGTGGAATAATGTCTGAGGTGGGAGAAAGAATGAGCAAGCTTGAACATCAGTGAGCAGCCATGAAGCTGCAAAATCAATAAGTGAAGGTATCTGCCTAGAGGTAGCCTGGCCCCTGTTGCCTGGAGGCATCTCCTGTTTGGGAGGTGTTCACTAGCACTTGATTCTTTGCTGCCTGGAGTCCTCCTGTTTCCAAGGGTTGTTCCTTATTTAGTGTCTTGATTCTGGTGTTTTGTTAATACTAGTAATTAGAGTTTTGTTCATTTTCACACTTTCCTCCTTTCTGTTGAAATTCCTTACGTTCTTCTTGTGGATTTCAATGGCTTCTCTGCGTCATCTGACATGATGGTTGTCTGAGTGATCCAGCATGTATGTGTTCTCCAATAATAATACTCTGTGTTCAGGTTGGTTCATCAGGGCTCTGCTGTAGCTGACTTCTCTGGTTGAACCTTCTGCAGTACTTTTCATGTTTTTCATGTCAGACTACCCGGAGAAGCCATTAAAATCCACAAGCACAAAAAGGAGGAAACAATGAAAACGAAGAAAATCTGGTTGTCAGTATTTAAAAAAACACCAGATTCAAGACAGTATATAAAGAAACAGGAGAACTCCAGATAACAAACTATCAAGTGACAGTTAACACCTCCTAAACAGAGGGTGCCTCCAGGCAACAACAGCCAGGCTACCTCAGTGCAGAGACCTTCACTGAATGACTTTGCAGCTTCATGGCTACTCAGTGCAATTCAAGCTTGCTAACTGCAACATTTAGAGTTACTTTAAACAGACAAGGGTTTTTTCCTCCACCCTGGGCATTATCTTCTTCTATACCTACAAACACATACACATACATACACACAAACACTCTGTCTGGGTTGTTGTAGGTTTTTTCAGGCTGTATGGCCATGGTCTAGAGGCATTCTCTCCTGACGTTTCGCCTGCATCTATGGCAAGCATCCTCAGAGGTAGTGAGGTCTGTTGGAAGTAGGAAAAAGGGTTTATATATCTGTGGAATGACCAGGGTGGAATGACCACTCTCACAACCACCATGTCAGGCTACACAGAGAAGCCATTGAAATACACAAGCATGTGGACAATTTCAACAGAAAGGAGGAAACCATGAAAATGAACAAAATCTGACTACCAGTATTAAAAAACTCTAAAATTACAACAGCACAACAACAGAGAGAAACAAACAAGGACATCTAATCACCTCTCAACAAAAGTTTGCTCCAGACACTGTCAGGCCATTATATTGCTAATCAAGGTGGTCAGTTGAAACATTCCCACCTAGCTCCAGCAGACAAGAGTCCTTTGTCTCACCCTGGTCATTCCACAGATATATAAACCCTTTTCCTAGTTCCAACAGACCTCACTACCTCTGAGGATGCTTGCCATAGATGCAGGCGAAACATCAGGAGAATATGCCTCTAGAACATGGCCATACAGCCCGAAAAAACCTATAACAACCCAGTGATTCCGGCCATGAAAGCCTTCAACAATACTCTATCTGTCTATTTGTCTGTCTATCTATCTATCCATCCATCCACATAATAAAGGTGAAAATGTGTGCATGTGACATTGCAGGTTAGAGCAAGCACCATTAATGTGTAGCCCAACCCTTGCCAGTGTTCTCCCCAAACACTACTACCCACCACCCAAGAAATGCTTTCACTCAGGGACCATTTCATCCTAGATGTTCTGTTTCTTTCTCCAGAATGGACATCCCAGGATTCCTTTCTCTCTCCAAATATGCATGACCCCACCCACTGCCTCTCACTTAACCCTTTAGTAGGAACTCATTCTTATGGCACACAACAAACAGGAATAGAGCAGCAACTGAACGAGAGGTTTGGGAAGAATTCATCATGATTTAGAGGAGATGTAGTTCACCTACATCCATAAATCTTGACCACACTTGCCACGGATGATGGGATTTGCAGTATCTTCACTCAGTTCCAAAGACCACTGCAACCCTCATAAATAACGGACTTGGACCAAATTTGGTACACAGACCCCCCCCCCCCCAATGATCCACTATACATCCTGGTGCAGTTGAGGAAGGATGGATCACAGATGAAGGGATACACAGTACCTTCACCCAATTCGCCTCCCCCACGAATGACAGACCTAGAGCAAACTTGGCACACAGACTTAGGGTTGAATGGCCCTGGACCTAGGAGTTGTAGTTCACCTTTATCCAGAGAGCTCTGAACCCAGCCGACATTAGATCTGGACCAAACTTGGCACACAAACCCAACATGGCCAACTGTGCATATAGGTCTGGTTTGGGGGTGATTGTCCTTGGCTCTGGAAGTTGTTGTTCAGCCTTATCCAAAGAGCCCTGAACCTGGCACACAGACCCAACATGGCCAACTTTGAACACTGGTGGGTCACTACTGCTGCCAGAATGGTACACGCCTAAAAAATGGAAACTAGAAGAATTGGCAACAAGAGAAGAATGGCTAGAAAAAGTAAAGGACATAAGAGAAATAGAGCTACAAATTACCAAACTGATATGACTTCATGCCCCAAAACAAACAGTGTCTTTTTCAAATAGTGCAGAACAATGTAACATACTGGAGGGGTTTGGGGGGAATGACCTACCTGTGCGGGAGTTGTTGTTCACCCTACATCCAGAAATATTACCAAACTTCCCAAAACAAATAATGCCTTTCTCAAGTAACCCGGGCATGGCTGGGTCCCCAAGCTAGTAATATATAATATACACTTCACTTGCTTGACTGCCAACAGAACCTCTGAAGATGCCATTAGACACAGATGCAGGTGAAATATCAGGAGAGAATGCTCCTGGAACACATTGGACACACAGCCTGGAAAACTCACTGCTACCCAAAACCATAGTGGCTCAGTGTGTTGTGCACTTGGCCTCACCCGCTCCCTCTCCTTGGCATTGGCAGCCCGCCGGCGGCCCAGGACTTGCTCTCGGTTCTCGGTAGGGAAGTAGTGCCCGGAGGGCTTCCTCCTCATGCGCGTGATGGGGGCCATGACGGGCAGTGGGCCGAAGTGCTCACTCAGGACTGTGCCCAGCACCTCCGGTGGGGGGGCCAATAGCAGTGGGAGGGGGCCCGGCCGGGCATCCGCACACGCACCCTGCATCCGAGGGAGGATCACCTGGTCGGGGAGAAGAAGCCTCCATTACAAGCAGACCCCACCTTGCAAGGCTGACTGGGTCATGATGCAACTCCTCATCATCATCAGGTCTTGCCTGCCTCCCCTCTCAGATCGATGTATTGGACCATACCATATTGACTCGAATCTAATGCTCATTGCTCATCTTTTTTAGGCTAAACACCTTCCCATAAATGAGGATGGGAGTTACATAGTGTACTAGAATCCTAGAGCTGGAAGGGACCCCAAAGGTCATTCAGTCCAACCCTGGAACTAAAGATGATGATGGTGTGGTGGTGGTGATGATGATGATAACAGAATCCTAGAGTTGGAAGAAACCCCCAAAAGTCTTTCAGTCCAACCCCTGAACCTGATGGTGGTGGTAGTGGTGTTGGTGATGATAGCCACAACAATAATATAGGAGAGTTGGAAGACATCCCCAAAGGTCATTCAGTCCAGCTCCTGGACCTAATGATGATTGGGAGGGATAGCCAATACTCCAGAGGACAGGAGCAGGATTCAAAATGATCTTGACAGATTAGAGAGAAGGACCAAAACTAACAAAATGAAGTTCAACAGGGACAAATACAAGATACTCCACTTGGGCAGAAAAAACGAAATGCAAAGATACAGAATGCGGGACGATGCCTGGCTCAAGAGCAGTATGCGGGAAAAAGAGCTTGGAGTCCTCGTGGACAACAAGTTAAACATGAGCCAACAATGTAATGTGGCAGCAAAAAAAGCCAATGGGATTTTGGCCTGCATCAATAGGAGCATAGTGTCTAGATCTAGGGAAGTCATGCTACCCATGCTCTATTCTGCTTTGGTTAGACCACACCTGGAATACTGTGTCCAATTCTGGGCACCACAATTCAAGAGAGATATTGACAAGCTGGAATGTGTCCAGAGGAGGGCGACTAAAATGATCAAGGGTCTGGAGAACAAGCCCTTTGAGGAGCGGCTTAAGGAGCTGGGCATGTTTAGCCTGAGGAAGAGAAGGCTGAGAGGAGATATGATAGCCATGTATAAATATGTGAGAGGAAGTCACAGGGAGGAGGGAGCAAGCTTGTTTTCTGCTTCCCTGGAGATTAGAACGTGGAACAATGGCTTCAAACTACAAGAGAGGAGATTCCATCTGAACATGAGGAAGAACTTCCAGACTGTGAGAGCCGTTCAGTAGTGGAAGTCTCTGCCCCGGAATGTGGTGGAGGCTCCTTCTTTGGAAGCTTTTAAACAGAGGCTGGATGGCCATCTGCCAGGGGTGATTTGAATGCAATATTCCTGCTTCTTGGCAGGGGGTTGGACTGAATGGCCCATGAGGTCTCTTCCAATTCTATGATTCTATGATGTTGATAGAATCCTAGAGTTGAAAAGAAACCCCCTGGATCTAGTCCAACCCCCAGACGTGGTTGCTTTATGCCGAGTCGAAGCAACAGAGGAAGTTGCACCTGAATCTCCTCTTTGAAAAACATCATCTCTAATTTGGCCAGGGCTCAATACTACACAGTCCTGGGACTTGTATTTTGGAGAGGCATCCACATTTTTTGGCAGCCCCCAGGATGCCAAATTACATGACTCCATGACTCCATAGCATTGACTCAAGACAGTTTAAGTAGATGCATTCTATTTGTTTATTTATAAGGAAACGTTTTAGAGCAACATATTTACATTTCTGGACCCACTTTAGAGGCATTGGTATGGGGGACTAAAGGCATGCACTTAAAATGTTGCTATTAATTCACTGAATGCAAAAACTCTAAGGAAAGTGCCCACCCAGCTTTGGAGGTCTGCCATAATGTGATCATGCCGAGTTTTAAGCCTTTATTCAGCAGTCAATCATTCAGTCATGAAGATAACACTCTGGGTTATCAATGTCATTTCCTAATTGGTTCTATCCATAAAAAACATGGGAAACGGTTTATTAAATTACAAAATAATTATATTATTATTATAATATTATATATTATACTGATATAATATAATAATTAAATTATAACAATATGTAATAATACAATAATAACATCAAATAATGTAATATAACAATGATAGTAATAACATAATAATACAGAAGATAAAGCAAAAGTATGATAGCTGGGACCGTACGCTGGTTAAACACACCCCGGGTCCAGCTATGCGTAGGGTCCCAGCTATCATACTTTTGCCAAAAATAATAATAAAATAAAGTATAATATGATATAACATATAATACAATAATATTATAATAATACAATAATAATAATAATCTATATAAATAAAAATGTAATGTTCGTTTGTGGGATTCACAGAACTCAAAAACCACTGGATGAATTGACACTAAATTGGGACACAAGACATCTAACAACCCAATGTATGTCCTTCACTTAAAAAAAATGATTTTGTCATTTGGGAGTTGAAGCTGCTGGGATTTATAGTTCAACTGCAATCAAAGAGCATTCTGAACCCCACCAGTAATGGAATTGAACCAAACTTGGCACATAGTTCTCCCATGACCAACAGAAAACACTGAAAGGGTTTGGTGGGCAGTGTCCTTTGCTTTTGGAGTTGTAGTTCACCTACATCCAGAGATCACTGTGGACTCAAACAATGATGGATCTGGACCAAACTCTACACAAATACTCAATATGCCCAAATGTGAGCATTGGTGGAGTTTGGGGAAAATAGAATCTTGACATTCGGGAGTTGTAGTTCCTGGGATTTATAGTTCGCATACAATCACAGAGCATTCTGAACCCCACCAATGATAGAATTGGGCCAAACCTCCCACACAGAACTCCCATGACTACTAGAATGGGCCACAGCAACGCGTGGCAGGGGACAGTTAGTCATAAATAAATTATAAAAGTACTATGCAACACAATTTTTTTCCTGGGTTATAAATGTCATTTCGTAATTTGTTCTCTCATTAAAAATGGAAAAAGTTTATTAAACTGCACAAGCTTTATCTTTGTGGGAGGGTCATTATCCTACAATAGTACATTTTGCTCTAGTTTTCCAATGAGTCAATGCTATGGAGTCATGGGGGTGTAATTGGGATCCTGGGGAATGCCGAAGAATGCAGATGCCTCTCCAAACTACAAATCCCAGCATTGTGTCATTGCGTCTCAGCCAATTCAACATAGTTTGTCCCACAAAACAAAGTTTCTGGAGTAGAACAAACTACGTTGAAAGTAAGGACCACACAATTAAACAGGAAACCACACTTTCAAACCAAGAACAGAACATTTTTCAAATTTTGTTTTCAAATGTTGTTACATCTGGCCGTCCTTGTGGGAATTCCAACAGACTTTGCCAAAAGGTCTTCTCAGCAATGAATGCCTCCTTCCTAAATGCCATGTTGGTGGATAAATTTGGCCCATTTATAAAGAGAATAGGAGCTTTGAATAAGATCAAAGTGACCCAATCCTGAAGAAGGTGGGAAGAAGGAAATGGCTTGGGAATAGCTTGGGTTTGGGTGAAGTGCAGCAGGTGCAAATAATGTTGGTACTCACCTGGGACAGGTAAGCAGTAGTGCGGAAAGGAAGAGTGTCCCCAAGGGCCACCAAGGATGGTTTGGCTTGGAGATGGAAAGCAAGGTGGCTGCTTTGGGGACAAAGAGAAGGAGGAGGGTCTCAACAGATGGAGAGGAGCAACAGGTGAGCCCAGTCTTCCCTGAGAGCTGGGAAGAGGCACACCTGGGCCCCTGGAGAGACCTTAAAGGGCCAGAGACCCTTCCTCAGCTAAGCCAAGGGGGAAAGGGGGCCAGGGTCAAAGAGACTAAGTAGCACTGCTTTTCATATTGCACATAGGTCATTATTATTATATATACACAGAGAGAGGGGGGCACTAATTAATTTGCAATTTCCATAGAGTTGGGAGGACCACAAAGACCATCCAGTCCAATCCATATATTCCTCAGCTGAGCCAAGGGGAAAACAATTCACGTAGGCTATGATTGCATAGACACCTACACACCTGTATTAAGTCATTTTAAAGTATCATAGAACTGGATAGACATAGACACGTCTTTGTGTGTGAATGGATATATATATCCATTTATATATCCAGTTCATCCTCCAGGAAATAAAGCCCGACTGCTCATATATATATCAGACAGACATATCTCTCTATATATATCCAGTTCTATGATCTTTAAAAAGGAATTAATAGATATCTATTGTCGAAGGCTTTCATGGCTGGAATCACTAGGTTCTTGTGGGTTTTTTCGGGCTATAGAGCCATGTTCTAGAGGCATTTCTCCTGACGTTTCGCCTGCATCTATGGCAAGCATCCTCAGAAGTTGTGAGGTCTGACCTCACAACCTCTGAGGATGCTTGCCATAGATGCAGGCGAAACGTCAGGAGAAATGCCTCTAGAACATGGCTCTATAGCCCGAAAAAACCCACAAGAACCTAATAGATATCTGTTTGTATGTATATAAATGTGATATATATATATAATTTATATACATACAAACAGATATCTATTAATTGCTTTTTAAAGATCATAGGACTGGATATATATATATATAGATATGTCTGTCTGTCTCTCTGACAGACAGACAGACATATCTATATATATATATATATCCCTCTTGGAAGGTGAGAGGGTCGGTATATAAAACCTCGAAATAAATAATAATTAATAAATATATTATATATTTATTTATTTATCGTGTCAGAAGCAAATTGAGGGTACAGTTGTAATGTAATGTATTTAAAAACACAAACAAAGTTAAAACCAAAGTTTAAAAATGTCCTTTGCCCAGAAGATGGCCACTTGGAGTGCCTCTGATCTCTGTGAGAAGGTCCTCCATTGTGCATGTGGCAGGGCTCAGGTTGCAGTCGATGGTCTGTGGTTTGCTCTTCTTTGTACTCAGATGTGAACTCCACTTTGAGGCCCCATTTCTTAAGGTTTGTTCTGCATCTCATGGTGCCACAGTGAAACAATATCATACGGAAGCTGACTGGCACAACCTGGGGATCACAAGCAGACACAGTGAAGACATCTGCTCTTGCACTTTGCTACTTTGCTGCTGAGTACGCATGCCCATGGCAACAAAGATCCGCATAGTCAAAGCCATGGTATTCCCTGTAGTAACCTACGGATGTGAGAGCTGGACCTTAGGGAAGGCTGAGCGAAGGAAGATAGATGCTTTTGAGCTGTGGTGTTGGAGGAAAGTTCTGAGAGTGCCTTGGACTGCGAGAAGATCCAACCAGTCCATCCTCCAGGAAATAAAGCCCGACTGCTCACTGGAGCGGAAAGATACTAGAGACAAAGTTGAAGTACTTTGGCCACATCATGAGGAGACAGGAAAGCCTAGAGAAGACAATTATGCTGGGGAAAGTGGAAGGCAAAAGGAAGAGGGGCCGACCAAGGGCAAGATGGATGGATGGCATCCTTCAAGTGACTGGACTGACCTTGAAGGAGCTGGGGGTGGTGACGGCCGACAGGGAGCTCTGGCGTGGGCTGGTCCATGAGGTCACGAAGAGTCGGAGACGACTGAACGAATGAACAACAACAACATGCATGCCCAGTGTGGAATACATCCCATCACATTAAAACAGTGGATGTGGCTCCTAGTGAAACATGCTGCGTTAACACAGGATGCCTACGCCCAACACCACTGGAAAAATTATACTGTTTGGCAGAGGCGGTCCTAGGTAATTTTCAACTGTAAGCAAACAGTATTTTGGCGCCCCCCCCCCCAAACCAATATTGATATATATTTTCTGTTTGTCGTGGGAGTTCTGTGTGCCATATTTGGTTCAATTCCATCATTGGTGGAGTTCAGAATGCTCTTTGATTGTAGGTGAACTATACATCCCAGTAACTACAACTCGCATATGTCAAGGTCTATTTTCCCCCAAGAGTGCCTCAAGAGCGCCCTTGGGTAAATCAACTATACTGCAGATGCTTACTTTGCGTAATGGGTTGAGCCGCCCCTGCTGTTTGGCCAGTATTGCACCACCTGACAGCAGTCAGGAAATGGCAGCCTGTAGTGAAAGGACCAATGCATGGACATCTCTGATCCTCTGTTTGGATATCAGCTAGTAAGACAGTGACTTAAATCAAGGAGTGCTTCCTAAGATCTGCAGAGATGCTCACAGGAACACTTCAGCAAGTGAGAGTCCAGAAGTGGCAGGCTAAAATCCAGAATCTCAATCAGTGGCTGAGACTGGATAAGAAACTCCCTCCTGGGCACACAAAAGACTGGGTGACTTGGAAGGTGCTGAACAGACTGTGCTCTGGCACCACAAAATGTAGAGCCAATTTTCAGAAATGGGGCTGTAAAGTGGAGTCCACAATATGCAAGTGTGGAGAAGAGCAAACCATAGACCACCTACTACAATGTAGTCTGAGCCCTGCCACATGCACCATGGAGGACCTTGTCACAGTGACACCAGAGGTACTTCAAGTGGTCAAAGGAAATTTAGTATAATGTCAATTTTTAAACTTTGTTTGTGTTTTTAAATACATCACAACTGTACCCTCAATTTGCTTCTGACACGATAAATTAAAAAAAACCAAAAGGGATAATAATCTATTCTAAGCAGAGTGAGCCCTGGTTAGGGCTTGGGTGAGAGACAGTCAACAAACAGAGGACCAAAACTGTAGGAACTGGCCAAAGGAATGTGTAGCATCCATCCAGGGCTCCTTGCATGGCATGACAATTTCAGGACACTAGAGGTCACTTTATTCCCACAGTAATTACAACTTCCTAAACACATTATTTCCCATCTACAACTTACTGCAAGTGAACTGGATTCACTGTCTCTCCAATTAAGCCAACAGACATTACTTTTGTTCCCAGTCATATTTTGGACCCATCTGTCATAACAACATCTTCTCAAGTAAGTCTTTATTTATTCTCTTTGCAGATAAGCAGACCTGGATAGCCATCTATCGGGTATACTTTGATTGTGCTTTTCCTGCATGGCAGAATGTGGTGGGATTAGATGGCCTCTGAGGGGCCCTTCCCACTCGAGGATCCTATCTTAAAGTCAGGGTGTTTGCATTAAGATGTAATGCTGAGATTTAAACTAAAATCAATAAGGACAAAAAGGGGAGGGGGGTCACATTGCAGTCTGTGAAATGAACGCGGTTTAGCTGCCATGGCTCAATGCCACAGAATCATGGGAGTTGTCATAGAATCATAGAATCATAGAGTTGGACGAGACCTCGTGGGCCATCCAGTCCAACCCCCTGCCAAGAAGCAAGAATATTGCATTCAGAGCAGCCCTGACAGATGGCCATCTAGCCTCTGTTTAAAAGCTTCCAAAGAAGGAGCCTCCACCACACTCCAGGGCAGAGAGTTCCACTGCTGAACGGCTCTCACGGTCAGGAAGTTCTTCCTAATGTTCAGATGGAATCTCCTTTCTTGTAGTTTTATAAGGCCTTTAGCCTTCTCTGTCAAAGAGTGCTGGGGCCTTACCAAACTACAGATCCCATGATCCCATACACTTGAGCCCTGGCAGTTAAAGCAGTGCCCAAACTGCATTCATTCTACTACTACTACTCGCTTACTCACTTACTTAGGTGATCCCTCGTAGCCCGAGGATGATGGTTCTCCATCTGGGGTCTTGGCGGTGAGTCCGCAGGTGGCTGTGGAGCCCTATTCTTGATCCGCATGTTCTCCTGCAGTGAGGACATCAGTTTCCAGGTTGAAGGTAGTCCTGGTCAGGGTTGGCTACTACTACTACTACTACTACTACTACTATTTTATTTATTTATACCATTCTTTATGTATTGATTATGTCACTTGGAAACCGCTCTGAGTCCCCTTGGGGAGATAGAGCGGTATATAAATAAAACTTTGTTGTTGTTGTTCTTTATTTCTCCCAAAGGAGACTCAAAGCGGCTTAACATAAAGCATCAGCATATTGTTTAATATATACACATATGCAAACATTAAAATAGGATTAAATATAAACAGTACTAAAAAAAATTCACAGTTTATTTATTTATTTATTTATTTATTTATTTATTTATAGTGTCAGGAGCAGACATTTGTATTACATTTTTAACAAAACAAACAAACAAACAGACAAAACACAAAGTTTGCAAGCCTGGTAGTTGGTCACTTGGAGTGCCTCTGGTGTTGTCGCAAGAAGGTCCTCCATTGTGCACGTGGCAGGGCTCAGGTTGCATTGCAGCAGGTGGTCAGTGGTTTGCTCTTCTCCACACTCGCATGTCGTGGATTCCACTTTGGAGCCCCATATCTTAAGGTTGGTTCTGCATCATGTGGTGCCAGAGCGCAGTCTGTTCAGCGCCTTCCAAGTCGTCCAGTTTTTTTGTGTGCCTGGGGGGAGTCTCTCATTTGGTATCCGCCATAGATTGAGGTTCTGGGTTTGAGCCTGCCACTTTTGGACTCTTGCTTGCTGAGGTGTTCCAGCGAGTGTCTCTGTAGATCTTAGAAAACTATTTCTTGATTTAAGTTGTTGGCGTGCTGGCTGATATCCAAACAGGGTGTGGGCTGGAGATGTCACTGCCTTGGTCCTTTCACTATTGGTTGCTACTCCCCAGCAGATGTCGGGTGGTGCAATACCAGCTAAACAGTGTAATTTCTCCAGTGGTGTATGGCACAGACACACCGTGATAAT